ACATCTGCAGCTATTGCAGATACACCTGGGTGGAACTGATGCAGGAATGCAGTGCAAAGTATTGAAAATTGGCTTTTTACAGCTCCTGATTTCTCCTTCTGACGTACCGGACCTGCCAGGTAGTCACCAGCTTGGGACATGATGAAAACATCTTTTTTATGTCAGAATCTGCCAGGTCCCGGAATTCGAGTCTCTCTTGGACTTTAAATAGACTGAAATAAGGTTGTTCAGGGATTAGCTGGCATTCTCCAGCCTCCTTTTATTGTTGCTATAATATCTTTTTTATTAAATTGCTCACAGGTAACAACATACAGATATGCTGCGATAAGCTCTCCGAGCTGTACTGTTTTCAGGGAATCTTAGGTCACCGTCATGGATCTCTGAAAATAAGAAATAAGAATCAGCCTTGGTTTTGTGAAGCATTCAGACCAGCTTCCATTTGTTCCTCTGCTCCTTGCAGTTGACTGGTTTGGTATATAAGGCATTTGACTGGAAAACAGCATTTTTTATCAAAGAAAAAAAGCACTCTTCCAACTGTGCAATTGTCCAATTAATTCAGGATTGAAAAGTTAAGTACTGCTAAAAAACCAGCTATATTTTGTCTGGCCGTCTCCAGGAAAGCTATAACCCCAGCCTGATTACTGAAAAGAGGAGGAAAAAATAGCAAAAGGCAGTAATAATCTGGGGGGGGGGGGAATTTCTCACTGAAAAGAAATTGGGAGCAAATGGAGAAAAAAAATTCTGAAAAGGAGCTTTTTTTTTTTTTTTCAAAAGCAGAGACTCCTTAAGCACAGAGAAGAGGAAAAGTTGCTCTAAATAAATAGTTCCTAGACTATTTTAAAATGTGGAGAAATTTATTTGTACATACTCCAGAAAACTATTCAGATTTTCTTCATGTTACTGCAATGATAAGTTGCTCTTTATTCTTCCCTTACTGCTGTATCAGAAAAGCTTTGCTGCCATGTGTAAATGGCTTTTGGGAATGACATAGCAACTGTGTGTTAATGGGATAAATTAAGCAGTCATTGACGCTTTCTTGTGATATGCTATTTAATTACCTCTCTTTTCCTGAACCTGTCAACACTTCCAGTCAATCCAAAACAGGAGCGAAATTAATAGTAGTTTCGATTTTATACGAAGTGATGTTCAGATCACAAAACAATTGTAACCTGAGAAATCTGCATGGAGATACTTTACTCTTCATGCAAGTTATTTTTTGTTTGCTCCTGCTCTGGGGAGAGGTCGTGCAGTATTTAATAGGAATGAAACCCCACTGGGTTAAATGTAAGGATGCAACAGGATGTAACACAAATTTATAGAATCATTTAGGTTGGAAAAGACCTTTAAGATCATTGAGTTGAACTGTTATGTTTGTTGCTTGTTTTTTTTTTTTTTTAAACTGAAATTCAATAGGAGAGAGATTGTGCTTTTAATATTTTCTAAGATATTTGACTATTATAGTTTATAATTTTCTATAAACCCCTTGATATCATTTTAATGCTTTATCATGTCAAACATAGAAACTCATTAGACAACATAAAGAACGTAGCAATAGAGGTTGATGAAAAGCCAGGAGGTATTGTTATAGCAAAACTAAATCAACACAGCTTAGGAAAAAGTAACCCAGAGGACAACAGGATAACCTTTCCATAAATACTTTAATACCACAGCTATTAAAAGGTTATGATTTAAGATGATTCGCAAAACAAACCAGTGAGCCAGACGGAAACTCCTCCTAAACACTGGAAGAAATCCCCTAAAGACACAGTCAACCAAACTGGGTAAATATCTCAGCAGGAAAGAGGCAAAAGCATCATTGCTGAGTTTATTTAAATTCAGCTAGAGATCCTCTGATGCATCCCATTTCATCGTTGTGGAGGAACCAGGGCAGATTCCCAAAGCAGAAATGGGCTGACAACTTCACCCCTGAGTCACCTTCACCAACCTCCTCCAGGTAGGAAGGTCTGACCTCTGTGAGTTTGGTTCATCCTGGAATGAAATCACTGCTTCCACCTCAGAAAATGCTGGGCAGCAGCTGGCGGATGGCAACCTCCTCCCAGTAAAGGGACAAACATAAAGACTAAAGTGTTTAAATCTAAATTAAATGAGAGGGGATCTCATCAATGCTGAGCAGTATCTAAATGGCAGGTGGCAAGAGGATGGGGTCAGACTCTTCTCAGTGGTGCCCAGTGACAGGACAAGGAGCAACAGGCACAAATTGGAACACAGGAAATGCCATCTCAACATGAGGAAAAACTTTTTTCCATTGAGGGTGGCAGAGCACTGGAACTGGTTGCCCAGAGGGTGTGTGTAGAGTCTCCTTTTCTGGAGCTCTTCCAAACCCACCTGGATGGGTTCCTGTCCAACCTGCTCTGGGTGATCCTGGTCAGCCAGGGAGACTGGACTGGATGATCCAACCCCTACCATTTTGTGATTCAGTGATTCCACAAAATCAAGCTTTGGCCCTTAGGGCATTTGGTCCTCATACATCTGACTGTATTTTTTCAGATTTACAGATGCTCTTGCTACGGGATGGAACAAAGCTGTTAATTGTGGTTTTTTTCCCCCCTCAATTCAGAGAAAGTGTCATCTCGGATGATGCCTTGCCTTACATAGAAGGTCTGCTTTCCACACCAAAAACCTACCCTTGTCTCTTTTGGAAAGCTGTAACAAATCAATAAGCAGCTGGTAATAACAAGGACCAGTCCTGATGCACACAATAGGAAGGTTTGCAAAAGCCCAAATCCCTCAGAAGAAAAATGTCCCAAGAGACCGCCACGGTATTATTATTGTATGAATAACACGCTTATTGATTAAGCAGTATTTCTTCAACTGCAAAATGCAAAAGCAGCAAGATGCAGGCTGCAAAGCAAAGCAATCATATGAGTTTTATCTCACTGTAATTTTTATGATTGCTGTCCCTTTGTCTGTGTCTTATATTGGCACATGTTTATATATTTCTTCTCTTATTTGCTTTCATGAGGCTCACACTGAAAGTAAATATGATTTGTACTGAGAATTACTGAAAATTTTGAACAGCAGTTTTGAACTGTAACCCATGCTTCTTGCAGGATTAACCTGCTCTTCCTTTCCCCCCCAACTGCCCCCAAAAAACCACCCAGCAAGACACAGTGAGTTTCACATGTAAGTGTAGGCAGAGGATTTTGCAGACGGCAAGCAGGACAGCTGTATTTTGTTGTCAATGCATTTTTACGGCCCTTTTCCTAAGGGATTCTCTTTAGACTCCACAGAAATAAATGATTTACCAATGCAGCAAAAGATTGAGAAAACTGCTCTTATAGAGGTTTGGTGCCGTAAAAACCCTGAAGTTTATGGAGGCTCAGGTGGCCCCTCAGCCCCTTTAAAACTTTTTTTGGCAGTCCTACTGGTGCAGAATTACATTTCTGAAAAGGCAGCTGGCTTGCCAAGCCCTTGTTAAAGTGAATTGCTGTTTAAAGGCCCTATCAAGAATAATCCTTGCTTTATAACTCCTTTTGCAAAGCCAATCACCAAGTAAAGCTGCTGCCGCTTTGCAAATAAAAAGTAAAAACCCCTCCCAGGTACAGTGTGAGCTGGGCCAAACGGCCCCATGCGCCAAACTGCTCTATCGAAGCACTTTGTTGGTCAACCTCCAGTCTCAGTCTGCAATTCGTGGTGTTTTGAATAGCATGAGTAACTTCAGTAGCAGTGGGTCGGTGACTTTTCTTTATTTATTTCTGTTCCTTAGCGCTAGGCACTGTGTGACTACAAAGGAGGCCACAAACCTGCCCTCAAAGAGCTTATGCTGCTCCCAGGAGTAACGAGGAACATCTGACGACGATTAAAGGAGAATTGGCTCCTCAGCTGTTGAAATCAAAGGCTAACCACATCACTCACAGTCCCACCCACACCAAAGGCTAACCACAAAAACTCATGGTCCCACCATGGGGCTCCTCACCGGGTAGATCCCCGTGGCTGGATGCCTGAAAGGAGGTAGGGGAGATGTTTAGTCTGCTGTTTTCAATAATGATATATAAGAGGGGAGCAGCATGGCTGGTGGGGTTTGGTAGGGCTGAGAGAAGAGTGTAGAAGGGAAGGTGGGTAGGGGAAGTATCTTGCAGTCCTGAGGAGATCTCCAGGGCGATCTCCAGGATGGGGAAGAGCAGCAGGGAGCCTGTGAAGGGAAGGGGGGCTTGAGGGTGGCCCTTATGGAAGAGAAACCTCCCCTTGGGAAGCGCAGCTGCAGGAAGGGCATGGAGATGATCCAAAGGCTGGAGCACCTCTGCTGTGAGGACAGGCTGAGAGAGTTGGGGGGGTTCAACCTGGAGTAAGAGAAGGCTTCAGGGTGACCTTATAGCCCCTTCCAGTCCCTCAAGGGGCTACAGAAAAGCTGGGGAGGGACTCCTGATCAGGGAGGGGAGCCATAGGATGAAGGGGGAAGGGTTTTAAGGTGAAAAAGTGGAAATTTAGGTGAGATCTGGGGAGGAAATTCTTGCCCCTGAGGGTGGTGAGAGCCTGGCCCAGGTTGTCCAGAGAAGCTGTGGCTGCCCCATCCCTGGAGGGGTTCAAGGCCAGGCTGGATGGGGCTTTGAGCAACCAGGGGTTCCTGCCCATGGCAGGGGGTTGGAACTGGGTCATCTTTGAGGTCCCTTCCAACTCTGTGATTTCATGAAGGCGGGACCCGTTGAACCTCAGGGCGTCTGTCGGGTCCCCACAGGGACATGAAGAGAGGAAGGAGGTGGGGAACCCAACAGACACCGGAGGGAGAAGGGTAATGGCTCCTCCCGCGGGGCTGAGGGAGGCGAGAGCCGCCGCTGAGGGACGGTAGGCGGGACCCGCGAGGCGTACGGCTCGTTCTCTCTGGTGATTGGTCGATGGCGAACGTAAGGGAGGGGGGCGCCGGAGCGCGGTGCTTTCTGGGAGTTGTAGTCCGGAGCGGGGCCGGCGGGCGACGGCACCTGCGGGCTGGGAACTCCGGAGTGGGCGGGGCCGGGCGGAATGGGAGGCGAGCACGTGGGCAAGGGCCGCGGGTCACGTGATGTTTGGGTGCCGGCAGCAGGGCGCAGCCTCGCGGCGAGGGGCGCGCGGCGGCAGGTGAGGGGCGCGCGCGGCGGCGGCGGCGCGTGCTGGGCCTTCCCCGCCTCACCCCCCCCTTCCCTCCTTCACTCCCGCCTGTGACAGAGGGTGTGTGACACGGGGACAGGGTGTGTGACACGGGGACAGGGCTGGCCTGGCACGGGGGGGGGGTGTGTGTGAGAGGGATCAGA